TACAAATTAAGAATATAAAATATATTTTTAATAATTTATTTGATGTAAAAAAATAATATAATGCATTATTAGAATTGTAATACTAAAGTTTACACAAAGTTTGCCATTATTTCATTGAAAAAAATTGTACAAATAATCGAATATGTATTAACATTATTTGAACAGTTTTACAAACTCTAAAATACATTTTTTTTTCTAATCAAGACATGTTTTAACATTTCTATCCAAGACATCAAAAAGTTTTGGGCCGGACTTGATTACATCATCCCATGATTCGTAATTCACTTCTAATCCAAGCAAAATAGTTTTGAGAGGCCTTGGCCCTAGTGACTCTCCAAACGTCACCAACTTGTAGTTGTAGGGTATACTTATAATAAATATTAAATATATAATAATATATATATATATAGATATATATATATATATATATATATATAACAATATAATAGTGTGTATAGTACGGTCAGCCACCGTCGACCTGTGCAAGTTGCAGCACCACCCTGCCCGGCTGCCCCTAAACCCTACCATAAATAGCAACGCTTCTCAACCCTTCTCTTTGCAGCCTCCATCCTTCTATCTTCATCTTTCTTTCCCATTTTTGGTAAAAACTACAACTTCATGTGTTTAAGCAGTTCCAGTTTGCTTTGCTGCTTTCATTCTTTCCTTTTATAAGTTTGCTTTGCTGCTTTTATATGAATCATATATATATATTATAGATTTCCATGTTTAGAAAGGGTTGTACTGGATTTGCATTGGGTACAATCTTTTTACTTTTTTTTTGCTTTCTTGAATAGTTACTGCAAAACACTTCCATCCGCATGCGACGTGTTGTGGGCAGTGCGGCCATATATTTGCGGATATCATTGCTGTTTAAACACTTAATTATAAGCGTTTATTGGGCGTTTTGTTTGAGAAAGATGGATAGTGCATATACATACACACATCCATCCATCATCTTCTTAAATTTATCACCCTACATCGTTTTATTAATTTATTATTCATTTTAAAAATATGGGATTTTATAACAGTCGGCTTATGTTGAATCTTGAAAATGGAAAAAAAAAAAAATATAGGAAAATTTAATTGTGTCTCCCGATGATTGAAGAAAAAATAAGTTTCAGCCTTATCTGAATTTCTTTGCTGAATTCAAATTTTAATTCTGAGGGAGATCAAACTTTTATATATATATATATATGTATATATATGTATATATATATGTATATATATATGTATATGTATATGTATATGTATATGTATATGTTATGATGATACTTGTTACAAATTAACTTAAAGAAATGTTGTGAGGTTTGGTGAGGTTTGAATTTATAAGCGTAGTTATAATTGGGTCGAGGATTGTTTAGATAATGGTAGTAGGTTTGCTTTTATTAATTTACAACATCTTTTATTTGAACTTCTTGGATTTATGTGGTTTGGGTCGGACAGTTTACAATATTTTTATAACTTAACCCAATCTAATTATGGCAGTTTGAGAAAATTTTAACTCAATCCAACTCATTCAAAACTATAACGCAACTCTTGCAGATAGTGCCGTTACTGAGGTTTTTGATGCCTTGTGCGAAGATGCTAAAATGCTCCTATGCAGCTATGCCTATTTTTAAGCAAATGAAACGACGAAAGATAAGATTTTACTAAAGATTTTAGAACCTAGTCAAGTTAGGCAGCACATCCCCACACCGAATTTTATTAATTAAAATGAAAAATACAAAGGGGGACATAAAAATCAAAACCCTAAATTACGAAAAATAAATATATCACCTAAAACCAAAATCAAATGGACAGACTCAAAAAAAATGAGCTTGACCTTGTTTTGTTTTGTTTTCTTGATTTTTCCAGTCATTTTTGGTTTATTTTCAACTAGTTTATCATGGAATTTTTGATATTATAACAAAGACAAAATAAATGTTGATATTTTGATACCAAAATCATTAGAAACCATTGACAACTGAGCTTTAATTTCATCTTGTTAAAACTAAAGTTTTTTTTTCCAAGTTTCTATCATTACAATATTGGAGAGGAAGTCAACAACCATTATCATAAGAGAGTTTGTATCAATTGGAAATATAATAAATATATAATGTCCAAATTAATCAATTAAATGTTATTATGTTAGAATTTAGAAACGAAATCATACCTTGGTTTGAGAAACAATGCAATCGACTTCCACAGTTTCACTTCTAGTTCTAGAATCCAGATTTGAAGAAACACAAATGCAATTGACTGTATCTAGATTTGGATGATTGAGATTTGAGAAACAATAAAGGATTGAGATTTGAGAGTTTAATCGACAATCTATATCAAGTATATATAGTCGGGAAGTTGGCAATGCATCGATTGATGATCAAGATCGATCCATCGTCTCATAGACAGTCGTTAGACTCGTTACTGTTAATCGTCTTCCTCTATAACTGGAACGTCATCGTCGAAAATCGAAAAAGTCAAACACTCAAAAAACAATAGAAATCGTCAATTTCAAATCGCCAAAGCCAATCGTCTTGTAAACTATGATGCGTCTATCCTATTGTCACCGATTCAAGTCCTTAGGTTTGTTATTAGCAGACCTGGTCAGTTGGATCTCTATTTATAATTAAAGCTCAAATCTCAAATTATTAAACGCCCAAACCCAAAGCTAATACTGTATAAAAATTTGATGCCCCTTTGAGCTTTGATGTCCTGTGTGGTCGCACGGGCTATACGTGACCAGAGCCGGGCCTGCTTGCGGATTGAGGCGGGTTAGTGATTATATAAATTTGACGAATAAAATATTTCATAATACTTAAGTTTATAGAATCAAACTATAACACATTCTATTTAAAAAGATTATAATAGGTTTATAGAACATTTTTTGATGTTTCAACAAGTTTTTAAACTTTTTTTATAAATAAAGTGGTGTATTAGTTATTTTATAGAAACATTTTGAGAAATGTCCGTAAACTTGTCTATTTATAGGACATTTGTGTTCATATGACACTTAAAAAAAATCTCGTACAAAATAACTAATACGATACTTTATTTTAAAAGCGTCGTAGAAAATTATTTATCATTATTTGATCGTGAATCTCATTTGATAACTTATACATTTAGCTAAAATGAAATACAAACATAAATTCAATAAACATTTTAAACCTCAGTTTGGAGGATTTGTCTGAGTCCATTTCATATCAATTAAAAACCTTTACATTATGTTAGAGCAAAGGTGTTAAAATAATTCGACCATCGAATGGTCGAATAATGAACGAAACATGTGTTGATGCTTAAATGTTATAGAAAACGTATTTATACTTGCGTTTAAGGAACAACAAACTATATATCATTAACAAATTAATTAAGACCAAGAAAAATACTTGTTGGTGTTCAACCAATACAATCAAATAATTAAAGTTTGTCGTTGTAAGAGATAGCGTACGTTTTGAATTTCTCTAACACTTAGAACTAATCAATTTCTCAACAAATTAATCTAAGACCAAGAAAACTGTTGCTAGATAATTCAAATCAATGACAGATTGCTCAACAACAACAGTTTTCTTAGACTGTTGCTTCTCCGGCAACTACCCTCTGCCTCACCATCGCTAGATTTTGTTCTTGATCTGGATCTTGTTACTGATTTGTTATTATTTTCTCTATCTTGAACTGATTTGTTATTATAGATTTGGGTATGTTTTCTAATTTGGGGTTTCATTTAGTAATTTGTTTACCGTTTTATGACTTGATCTATAAATATTGTTGTTTTGAAAAATTTGATCTATAATGTTCAATATAAAACCAAGGGTAAAATTAGGGGTGTTCGCGGTCCGGTTTGGGCGTTTTAAGCCCTCAGACCACAAACCAAACCGTAATGGCGGTTTGTGAAATTTTCAGACCGAGCGGTTTGAAACCAAGTGCCCARACCGGTCAAACCAGACCACGAAAAGGCGGTCTGGTCTGACCGGTTTAGGCGGTTTGGGCCTTTAATGGGCTTTAAACATTAAAACCAAAAAACCTAGTGTCATATGTAATATTATAAATTTGAATAATAAATATTAATCACCCATCATAATCATCTCCCATAGAGATTTGTTTTCTACAATAAAAGTACTAAAAAATAAATGTCCTTCACATGTGAGTAATCTGTATACCAACCACTAAGCATTGAAGCAGTTATTAAAATTTAAACGCAATTTAAACAATCTAAAGTCCAAAGTCCAAACAAATAAATATGTAAAACATACCAAAAAACAAAGTCAAAATAGAATCCAAATATTAGTGTTCATTGTTTAAAAAAAGTCAAAACACTAAGGATTTAGATGAATTAGGCGACGTCGCGATGATTAGGAACGAAAAAGAGGTGGATAGTGGATACCGTGGAATCGTGGACGGTGGATTACTGGATGTTTGGTTTAGCTGATTAGGTTAGGAATTACCAAATTAGGGATTTAGATTTAGGGAATTTAGGACATCTTTTGGATAAGGCTTTATGTTTGATCTGAATAATTATAATACTAAAATAAAATTATATATATATATATATATATATATGGCGGTCGGGTTGGTCCAAACCGCCCAAAAAAAAGTCTAAACCGCAAACCGACCAGACCGCCTGGTTTCGGCTATTTTTCAAACCAGACCGGACCGCCAGACCGCTCAAACCGCCAAAAACGGTCCGGTTTGACTTGGTTCGGCCGGTTTGAGCGGTCCGGCGGTTTTTTTGAACACCCCTAGGTAAAATAGTCATTTTTTATCATTCAGATGGTTTGTTCGACACAACAACCGAACAACAATTTATCTATTAACACACCGACAACTTTATTAATATAGACAACTTTATCGATACAGGTATTAACAGAAAACGAACCAAACATGCCCGTGCAAACTATAATGAACACTTTTTTTTGTAACTTTTGGGTTCTATGAAAAAGTTTTGAAAATATGACAGGGACCGAAGTTGTAGTTCGCTCTGTTTGAAAATAGAAAAGATGGCGATAAGAATGAAATGAAGGAGCAAGTGAAGCACAAAAGCAATGCAAGATTGTATTCAAACAAATATACGAATAAGTTGATAACATTAAGACTAAACCAATGATCTCATGGAGTTTTCTCTACTCATGCTATGGTGAAAAATGCAGCTTGTCATCGAAACATCTTTCTTTGAATGCGAACATGGCAGCAATGTCATCTTGTTCAAATCCCAGTACTCGCCGCTCCTTATCGGTCGATCTCCATAAACCCATTTCTCCTCCTTTCGAGGCGTCCCCTCAATTATCCCACCTTCGTTATCGGCGTTTGAAATCGAAGCTTGTTTCCATTTACACCATATGCGAAGCATCAGATAAAGCAGATATAAGCATATCACGGTTGCCGTGAAAACAATGGCAACTACGATTCCGGCAGCTGCTGTGTTCGAGAGCTGTTCTTTCTGTTGTCGCTTTGATTCCGAACAAGATATTAGTGGTGGACCGCACAGGTTGTCGTTGGCCATGAAAGAACGTGGTGGGAATCTCGAAAAGGTTGATGGGATTTCTCCTTGGAGGTGATTGTGCGAGAGATAAAGGACGTGGAGGCTATTTAGTCTTCCCAGCGATTCTGGAACTTGTCCTTGGAGTTGGTTGAAGGACAAATTCAGTCTTTCTAACTTCACAAGATTCGCTAGAGAAACTGGGATCTCACCCACGAGAATATTCGTGCTCAAATCCAGGATAACTTGTAGCTCAGTAAGAGTGCCTAGCTCAGGTGGTATGGAACCTGTGAGAGAGTTTTCTGAGAGCCTCAACTCAAACAGTTTCTTACACTCACCAAGTGTTCGAGGAATTGCCCCAGACAGATTGTTTCTTTGAAGTTTCAGTACATTTAGACCAGTAAGATTCCCAATCTCTTCTGGGATTCGACCAGAAAGCCTATTCTGGTTTATCGAAAGCTTGAGTAATCTCGAACAGTTCCCGAGTTCTTTCGGCATTGTTCCATTGAAGTCGTTGCTCGAAAGATCTAGCTCTCCAAGTTCCTTTAACGTTCCTAACCATGGTGGAACCATGCCTGAAAGTTGGTTGTTACTGACTAGAAAATGGCTGATCTTTTTACAGTTTGAGAGCTCCAATGGTAGCTCTCCCGTGAAATTGTTATATGAAAGATCAAGAAAGTTGAGATCGCCAAGTTGGCCTAATTGCGAAGGGATGGTGCCATTAAGAAGATTATGAGCAAGTCGTATGCGGGTAAGATTCTTTGACATGGTTAGTTCAGAAGGAATGAGACCTGAGAAACTGTTATTAGTCAAGTCTAATAAAGAAACTGAATTTGAGCCCAAAAAAGGAGAGATTGAACCCGAGAATTTGTTGTGAGAAACATTAATAATGGTGAGGTTTTTAAGGAGAAAGAGTGATTCAGGAATAGGGCCTTCGAACGAATTGTTGTAAAGGCTAAGAAGTGAAAGCTCTGAGAGATATCCAAATGTCTTTGAAAGCGATCCTGAAAGCTTGTTATCGCCCAACGATAATGTTTGAAGCTTTCTGCAGTATCCCAAACTCAATGGAACAGGACCGGATAAATCATTTTGCCTTAACTGTAGAAAAACCAGATTCTTGAGCTTCCCTATTGTTGCAGGAATCTCACCTGTGAAATGATTTCCAAAGAAATCAATTTCATTTAAGCTCGAGCAATTCGTTAACTCGTTTGGTATGTTTCCTGACATCTGATTATCGTACAGATACAGTAAGCTTAACTTCTGCAACTTTCCTATTTCAGTTGGGATTTCACCTGTGATCATGTTGTCAAACAGATAAAGACTGACCAAATTACTCAGGTTTCCAATTTCAGGAGGTAGACTACCAATAAAACTGTTGTTGTTGAGCAAAAGATCAGTGAGGTTCTTCAGTTTGTCGAGCCCAGATGGTAGTTCGTTTTCGAAGTTGTTATCAGAAATGTCTAATACTTCAAGGGAAGAACAGTTTAGCAGCTCCAGAGGGAAGTTACCAGAGAGATGGTTTCCAGAGAGGAAAACATGGCGCAAATTCGAGTTTCTGGAGCAAAGTTTTTCAGGAAAGCCGCCTGTGAAAGCATTGCCAGACAAAACTAAAGCTTCAAGGTTACTGTTTCCTTCGTAATCAAAAAGGGTTATGTTTCCTGAAAGATTGTTTCTTGAAAGATCAAGATTCTGGAGCTCGGGCAGTCGGATTAGTCCTGATGGGATTTCACCAGTCAACCGATTGCCAAGAAAGTTCAAGTACTTCAATTTAGAAAGCCCAGCTAACTCGGATGGAATGGATCCTGAGAGGCTATTGTTGGCTAAGTTCAAGATTTCTAATGATTGAAGCTTTCCAAACGAAGAAGGAACTTCACCTTCGAGCAGGTTGTTTGATGCTGCAAAGTTTTTGAGCTCTAGACAGCCACTGATTTCTTGAGGAATGGTTCCACCGAAACTGTTCTTCTGTAAATCAAGAGATTCCAAATGCTTCAAGTTGCCGAGTTGAGATGGAATGCTTCCGTTAAATTGGCAGTAAGCAAGGCCCAACACTCTTAACTCAGTCAACTCCCCAATACTTCCTATAACTTCTCCACTCAACTGATTATCTCCGGTTCGAAGAACTTGCAGCTTCTTCAAGAGACGAAGCTCTGAAGGAAGGTTACCCGAGAGATAATTTGAGAAGAGGAGTAGTTCGCGAAGATCTTGAAGCTCCCCAAGCTCTGGAGGGATCAACCCAGTGAGCGAATTCATTGAAAGATCTAGCTTTTGTAGTGAAACAAGGCGAGATAAATCAGGAGAGATTGATCCTGAGAGACCGGAGTTAGAAAGATTTATGCCCACAACACGAGTTTGATCTTTCGAACATTGCAATCCGTTCCAGGTGCATATATTCGTTCTTGGAGACCAATTGCTAAAGACTCCCATAGAATCAATGAACTCTGATTGAATTTTGAGGAGCCAGAATGAATCATCTGAAGTAACTCCAAGTGAAACTCTCAGGAAAGAACCAAGTACCACAAACAGAAAGATTTTATTGGATAAACTATCCATTCAAGAAGCTTTGATTGAATGATTAAACTGAAAAGATCATGGTTCTGTTGATGAAAACCAGAAAGAAAAGCTACTGAAAATGTGAAAGAATGTTGGTGAAAGATGAAGAAGATGATTGAGGGTTGTAGGGTTAATGGGTTCAGAAAGACAAATTGATATGGGACAGATCAAATGCTCACGTTAAGAAAGCTCATGATGATTGTGCATGAAAATGGAGATCAGAGCACCTTTTAATTAACTTCAAAACTTTATGTAACCCCTCTTTCTCTCATTTAAACTTATTAATTTAATTAGTTTAAAAACAAATATCCAAATGTCTAAAGATCTTACTAACTGACTGATTCAGAAAAATTAGCAGTTAAACAAGTCATTAAATTGATTATGATCATATGACCAGATTGATCCATTATATATATATATATATATATATATATATATATATATATATATATACACCATAAAATATCAGATTTCAACAAAAAATTACACAAATATATGATTTAATATTATTTAAATCAAGTTTAATGGTGTAAACACATCTAAGATATAAGTTTGAGCAGCTTTTTGGAGAATGGAAATAGACAAAGAAGATAAGGTTGTGATGGTTGAGAAGGAAAAAGAGAATGGGAGGAATAGCCACTTGGGGTGTGATGGATTGGACCATTTAAGTTGCAATTAAACTTTTATTCCAATAAAGAAACCTTGGAGAATCTTAAGTTACATCATAGAAATTAGATTAGATTTGTTGACTTTGTAAGATATCAAGTCAAAGATCCCTCATTTATGTCAACTTAATTGGTATCAACCCATTTTCTCTTCATGAAAACTTAATGAAGTCAAGCCAATTCATTATAAACAAAAAGGGTCAAATTTGGTACAATCTTGAAAGATGGATGGTAATATCTTGTTTTGAATTTGATCACATAAATGTTCTGTTACGAGAATTAAGGGTATGACTCTATTGAAGATTATACAGTGTTTATTTTGTGTATTTATTTCAAAGATTAAATTGTGGCATCGTGGACTATGTCATTAGCTTTGGTACTATTTGCCGACCTTAATGTTGCTTAGAGTGGCTAAGACGATATATAGGACAAGTAGTCAATCAGGTGGTTCAAGATTAGTCACTGAACTTGATTATTCGACTTAAACCTCAAATCTCTCCACTAAATCCTCACCTAATACTAATTAATTACAACAAAATAGAAAAACAACCACATGGGAATTTTGACTCATTTGAAATGGTCTCTTCATCCTCAACCATATGTGTTGGTCTCAAATTTTGAGTTGCACTTAGTGCATTCATAGTTGTACCAATGGAGAAGTATTCCTTGGTGGGATTGGAACCAAAGCAAGAAAGGACAAAGAAGTTGGGTTGATATTTGTTACATGTGTGTATGTATGTATGTAGTGGGTAGCTACCCAAGCTTTATGTCTTTCAATATCACCTTTTCCTTTGTGTTTGTGTAATCAAACAAGATGCAACCACTTTGGACTTATATCCCATGAAGTTTTGTCCCATCACCTCCCCCTCCCAAATTTATGCCTATTGAGTGCTTTTGTGCTCATCTTCTTCATAATGTTGTTTTACAGTTTAAAAGGAGGTTCTAAACTGTATTCTTGATCACCATATTTCATTTCATTATGTCACGATCATTCAACAAGATAAGGGAATTTTTTACGTCTTGATCTTTTCATAAAGACTATAATTTGAGAGTTTTCTGCTGACCACCTAATCTTGAAGAATTTCTTTTCCAAAAAAAACAAAGGGAATGACAACAAAAGATGGTAACAACTACGGAGACATGGAATGAAATTATAGGATGGTTTGATTATACTAATAATACCCAAAAAGAAAACAAGGAAAAAAACATGAGAGACAAGACATAAAATCCAAGGTAGAAGGTAGTCCATCAATGGATGTTTAATAATTTGTAATCATATGATAAATGAATGATATATAGGGAAAAACACCCTTTTGCTTATTTAAGTTATTTGGGAGAAAGTCAATGAGCAAAGTTGGGATGGATGGTCCATTGGCTTTTAAGATCAATTACATTCCAAGAGTAGTTATTGACTAAATTTCTTTATTTAATTGATGAAAACAACAATTATTGTTTTGTTAATCATTTATTTATGAAGAAAAGGCGGATAAAAGATATGTAGATTGATCAGGATTAAGAAATACACTGATATGATATGGTATTGTAGATCAAATAGAAATTGATTAGTCTAAGGGGTAGTTTACCTAACATTTACCCGGTAAGTGCTTACCGGTAAAATTTAATATTATCATTTATTTACCGGATAAGATTTTTATCCACCAAAACGGTATCGTATGCAACAATTTATTTGGTAAGCGTTTATCATGGTTAGAGTCATCGCTCACATACCGGATAAGACTCTTGGTCATTGTCTTGCTCTTTACCGGGTATGATTTTTGGTCTTTACTATATTCATTCGGTAAGATAATGTGACTTGGTGTTTACTTATCCGAATAAGCGTTTGGTAAACGGCTCCGAAGATAGGATTTGATAAAGATCTATTGATTATCTAATAATTTAATTTGATATATGAATCATGGTCTATTCGTTATGGATTATTATTTGATCGACAATCAACTAGAATTACATAAAGTGTGTCATTGTTCATAAAGTTAACAATTTGTTTTTATAGGGCCCAATAAGAATGTCTGAATCAAAGGTTGGGGCTTGTTTGTTTTTTTGAAAAAGAACACTTAATACCTCTTAAGTCTGAATCGGTCATACTTTTTGTTCTCAAATCGTTTGTTTTTAAAAAAAAAAATTAGAGCTAAAAAACTCTTATTGTACTCTGAATAAAAAAGTGATAACTTAATCACTTAAATCCTCTTAATTGCTCCATGGACTCTCAACATGCTTCATCACCGTCTCCTTTTTTGGCAAGGAGCTTTCCATCTCCAGCAACGAACTCCATGGATCTCCAGACTCCAAGAACTGCCCCAGAACTCACAAAATCCTTGTGGTGCTCTCCACCCTCAGTCGTGACGACGTAACCCGTAATACACTCTGGAGTTTTCATCAAGAACGGAATAAATCATAGAAATAAACTCTGGAGTTTTCATCAAGGCCAAAATAAACTCTAAAAAACCCAAATCTTAAATGTGTGTATGCAGGCAACAAGGAAGAAAGAAATCGATTCATTTATGTTGAGGTATCCAAATACCCAGTCGGAAATAAAATCGTTGCCACCAGGTTTCAATCAATCATTGACTTTGAATTGAGCATTCATCAAGTTTTGACAGAGATAAAGAGATTAAAGTTTGATTGGTGAGGTGCATTAGTAGCATATTCGAACAAATGGTAAGACTTAAAGATTTTGGTGTGATTATTTAGGATTTTCATCTTCAAAGATGAAATGGAGATGAATATCCAATTATAAAGTTGAAGAAAGGTTGTTCTAGGATTTTGATTGTAAAGTTGAAATTTTTTAGGTAATTTCAAACTTCAATCATAAAAACAAACAATCTAAGATTCAAATTTCAGGTTTCAGCATCACCTCTTATAAATGAGAAGAGAAATCAAACTTCAACACGTCTTAAAAAACAAACGCTACCTTAGTAAACATAAAAATGAATCTAAGCTCTTTTTGATAAAACAAACCCAGTAAATGATACTCACATGAAGTAGGAGTACGTTGTTTTGATACTAAAAACTTGGAAAGATGAACTGCAAGACACAACCACAATCAGTTAAGAGGATATGAAAATGAGATGGTCAACAAACTATCCACCAACCAATATTTAGGCCAAAACAAGTATTCAAAGTTTTCACTTCACTTGACAAATATTAGGGCAAACAAGAACGGGCGCATCTCGACTCCTGAATTACAACATTACATTTTCTCTAACACATAATAAGAAACCGCCACGTCCAACTTTCTTTTCTTCTCCCGTCCCGTGTAACCGGTATCATCCTTTGCCCTACACAAGCCTGCTCAATATCAATCATAGATTTATCAACATATTAAGCTACTACCAAAACCATAACCCCACTGCTACCTAGAAATCATACCTGAAACATCCAACCAAATTTCCGATCCAAAAAAAGGAAAGAAACTCCTGCTCAATAGTTCATAATTCATCTCTACTTCAACAGCAGGGCCGCTATTGCCGCCCATAGAAATTTCCACCACCACGTCTGGATTGACCTGAACCCCTTTCTTTGTACCTCAGAGCTGCATTACCAGACCCATCTGCAGGTCCATCAAGATTACTGGATCTGTTGCTATTATTGTTGTTTGATCCAACTGGCTGGTACTCGTAATGCTGATTTTGCCTCGGCCTTTCCCGGTTATTATTTGCATTATTATTCTGCCTCCTATTATCTTGCCCACCAGAACGGTTGTTTTGACCTCCATACTTTCTAAAACCTGAAGCAGCATGCTGCTGCTCGAATGGTGCTTCATCTTCCATGTTACCACCAAAGCCTTGGTTTGGACCTCTGAATGAAGCCGGCTTTCTTTCTCTCCTACCCTCTTGATGTCCATCATGTGCTGCTTCTCTAGCATTCTTATATTCAGCAACTGGTTCTTCAGGTTGAACCCTTTTGACCTCTGGGCTAGCATTTTGACCTCCACCGGACCAACCACCCCTATATGCTTGTGGTTTGGGTTGCCAACGGTTCTCTTTGGAAGAAGTAGGCCTATCTGTTTGGTTTATCTCAAGAGGCATTGTCGACTGCATCAAGTTTTTCTCCACTTCTGCACCACTAACATCCTTGTGATCAACATCATGATTTTTGGCTGTGCTCCTCTGTCCCTTGTATGCTGGTCTCTTTCCTTTACCAGTGGCTGCCCCTTCATCTTTCACAACAGGTGCAACTTCAGTTGGTGGATATTCAGGCATAAACCAGCCATCAGAAGGGTCCCATTCGTGCATAACATTAGTTTCAGTCGAAACAGGGTTTGAGGCCTCATGTTGGCTCGGAGATTTATTATGAGTTTTCTTTGGATTTGAAGTTATAGATGCTCCCTGTTGAAAACCTTGCTCCCGATGCACTTCAGTTGGTCCACGTTGGCGCCATGCTCCATGGGATTTCACCTGCTGCTTATTCTGCTTAATATCCCCACTCTTGGACTCCACAACAGACCCCACACTTGCAGCAACTGGGATTGGTGGTTGAGAGCCCAATTCTTCTCTATCTGTTATATCTTCAGACGTATTTATTCTGGGTGAAGATGGCGATGACGATTGCTGAATGCTTCCCTGCTGAGCCAGCTCTTTGGCCACTGGCTTGGGGACATATCTCTCCATTTCCGCCCTTTTGCTTTTCAGGTTAGTCTGGACCGAGCTAATGGTCTTTGATGGCAGGGACACATCATCCTGCATGGTTCTCTGACTGTATTCATCTCCACGCTCTTCTTTGTTCTGGGCCCGCACAGGGGCCCACATAACACCATCACTGCCATGGAATCTATCTGTTGATCTATTAGCCTGTGGGTTCCTCGGCATCCTTCTGGAGTGCTGAGGTTTATACTGGTTAGTTGATCTACCATGGGCTTCCTCACTAGGTAAAGAAGAGATATGCTCCAGATTAGATTGCATTGCATCCTTGCTATCAGTCACCAACACAATGCTCGGATCCAAATCAAATTGAGAAGATTCTGGCTTTCCGCTTTCAGTAGAAAGCTTTCCAAGATCACCTTCTCTTGATGCAGATGATGATGAGACAGTAGCAGGTAGAGAAGCATCATCAAGTTTATGCTTAGTCTTGCTACTCTTGTTATTTCTCTTCCTCTGTTGTGTTGACTCGGACAAGATATTTGAGTTGTTTGGCAGATTCGATTGTTGACTCGGTACATCTTCACCTGATACAACCACATTATTTCCAGAATTCTTCATAGCTGCACCTGCAGAACCTTTAAGTGTCTCACCTGTACCACTCAGAGTTGGTTTGTCAGCCAAACTTTCCACCACTTGTACACTCTGCTTTTGTCTATGATTAGCGCGCTTCAGCCTGGGTAGGCTGCTATCATTACCAAGTGGAGCAGCTTTGCTTTCAGCATCAGTTGCATTATCAACATTTTGTTTTGAAAGCAAAGACTGGCCATGTGAAACAACATGCTCTTGTTGACTGTTCGTTGACTTTGAGTCTCTGGACAGAGTAATGGATTGTCCAATCCCAGTTGTACTCTTCTCGCTGATCTGGGCAACTGCTTGAGCTTTTGAATCCAAATCTGTGATCGGTATCTCTTGTTTGCTAGTTTCAATAGCTGATCCAGTTGGTTTTTGGAATCCACCCACGTCCTCCTGCTCAGGAACATTAATAGCAGTTTTTTCTGCAGCCTGGGTTGTACCATCTGCTGCGAGTGTACGCCTATTCAACTCTTCCAATTTCGCAAGAGACTTTGCTTTCTGCTCTCTTATTCTTTCTTCCTCTTCTTTCTGTAGTTGGATTGCACGCTGTTTTGCTAACTCCCTCATCCTAGCACGCTGATGATGCATATATATACACACACAATAAAAGTGTATAGTGAAAGGTAAGCCACAATATAAGACAAGAAAACCATAATAATTCTGAAAAATGAAAATAAATGAGGTTTAAGTGTATGTGTGTGCTGAAAGGATACCTGTGCTTGGCCATCAGTGGGATCAACCATTGGAGTCAAAGACTCGCCTGCATTCTTAGTTTCAGGGTTCTCAGCAGCCTCGACAGAAATATGGTTATCTGGTACTTCAAAACCCAGAATTGGAGGTTTCTTTCGCCACCCATCGTTGTCTTGATTATTTGATCTTCCTTTGATGTGATCTGCTCGACTTCGCACTCCATGATGTGCTTGCCTGTAAATACCAAAAGCTAGTTAAAACAAAAATGTTAAATATAAAGTATGGCAACAACAAATGCAAATCATAGACCTTGAGAAGGGTGGACTGGCAGTGGTAGACCTAAAGGTATTCTCTCCTCTTAATACATTGATGTCACGAGGAGGGGCAAGATCTCCAGTGTTGGAAGTGCTACCAAATCCAATTGTAGAGTTGTCCTTAGGGTTAACTAATAATCTATTCTTCTGCTCCTCCTTTAAAGAACCAGATGCAGCATCCCCCCGTACATCAGAAGCCCGCACTTTTGCATTCAAACCTTCTATCTTCTGTATTAGGCTTGAATCTTTCGTGTTAGCTGGAATATCCTGAGGCACTTCTGGAAAAGGTGTTACAATTTCTGACTTCTTTCCCCAACTCTCATTGGATGCTTTAGACTTGCGTGTACCCTCGGGTGAATGCACAATCACAGAGTCTGAAGGATGACCTTGGTTGTGTAACATCCTGGACGGATTGTCATTAAGTGTGTTTCTTCTTGAAGGCATATCTTCAGTCCTTCTGGCGTCTGTTCCCCGCTCATTCCTGTGGAATGATGGTCTTGGCTGGTTACTCTTTTCTAAGCCTAATAAATTTGCTGTTGCAGTCTGCTCCCAGCTCTCTTCTTCCATGTCTACATCCCTTCCATTTTCACGTTTTCTAAGAACTTTGTATGGCCCTCTAGATTCCTCAGGTTGTTCAGAAACAAACATATTTCCGACTGATCCACGTCCACCAGATCTGAAGTGACCATCGCTAATCTCCGAAGGGTTTTGAGATGGGCACATGTTGTAAACAGGTGGCCCAGGTGGCATTCCCATAAATGGAATATCACGATCATTGGGATTGTATCCCATTGGAGGACCAAAATAACCATCATAGGGCACTGGACCAGGATAAAAGCCAGGCCTCGGCATTCCTGGACGAATAAAAGCATCAGGCATCTGCGGCCTGTAAAAATCTCCATTTCTTGGATGGTGGCCTGTTGGACCAGGGCCGGGTGGAGGACCTGGTTGCGAATTCACTAGAGGAGGGGGGATCTGAGGGCGATAGTAAGGGAAAGGTTCCATCGGAAACCCACCATGAGGAACAGGAGGATATGGGGGACCTGCAGGTGGCCCTCTATACCAAACACCAGGAGGTGCATTCATTGGTGGACCACGCCAGGCATCAAAATGTTGAGGAGGAACATTAGGATTGACATAGTGTTGTGGTTCCCCTTGCCACTTTTCAGCACTAGGATGAATCCCATCTACAACACGTGGAGAACCCTCTCTTGTCCAAGTATCAACAGTTCCGCTCTTGGGATCTGCACTTGAGAAAATGTAACAATCATCTTGCTAATTGACATGATCAACTAACTTGAACGACTAATGGAAAAAGGAAGGCTAAAAAGCAAAAAAAAAACAGACCAGCTTGAATTATCTCATTTCTCTCTTTGACATGTACAGTTCTGCCAGAGGCTGAGCCAGGACGTCCATGAGAACCATGATCTGCCATAAAGCAAGTCTAGATTCAACATAGGCACATGATAAACAATATTTCTTACAGGCAACAAAAAAAAAACAAAATATGGTTTTCATTAAATGCCCTGATAGCATTATTGCTCAAGGGTTCTGCAGAAAAAGTTAACCCTTAGCCAAATAAGGGGAATTTGCTATGTTGACCCTTGCTTCTTTACACCGTCAAACTCTAGATTAGATAAATCATACCAAAATGCACACCATGGCTGCGTGCAAAGGATCATTTGCAACTCTATGCAGAGAAAATGATGAGTGCCAGTTGTACCATTGACACAATCAACGTTTTGGGGTTTTAACATCACTTTTCGACTGTTGACATTATAGTGTTTTCAGGCATTCAAACAAGATTATTTTGAGTCTCTTTGTCTTTGTTCCAATCTTTGTTAGTCTGTCTTCTTAATCTTTTATTCCTTTTCCTCAAACTCCCATTTTTTCTTCTTTTTCCTACCTTTCTGAACACAAATTATTTTATTTTTCCTCCTTTCCTGTTCACTCAAAAATGTTTCAAGAATTGGAAGTGCTGATCTTCACAAAAAGTTGCTTCTATAACCTCTCAGCTATGTCAAGATCATGTCATATGCTGCTCCTTTTTCCTTCGCATTTCTACTTCAGCTTTCTTTCCTATTTGTCTTTCTGCTTTTGCTATGTTTTTGTTCCGCTGGTTCAGCATTCTTATATTCTGATTTAAGCGTTGAAGGTTGATTAGATAGGTGCCCAAAAAGGGAATCGGGAAGTTCATTCGAAAATGAGAAAATAAGGGTGTGCCACGCTATAAGCTGGTAAATTACTCCATCCAAAAAGCATGGACTATGATTTAATGTGGTTTATTGCAAAATTTGCAATAGAGAATGACTTTGGTATGTTATTGTGCCTAATGGCTTCAACAAACAGACCATGTTAAAGTGTATTGCATCACATTAACATGAAATGCTTAGAAAGAATGGAACTACAACTGGTCACACACTTGAGTACACAGCAAAAACCACCACCCAGATGCTGCTAGGGTGACAAATCACAACTAGAACTCCCATGCACCTACCACAATCCTACGTGATTTTCAGGTCAGTAATGATTGTTCAGTTTTAAAGTCACGCATACAATAACTTTAACAAATTTATGCCTATGTGGCGGCCAAAGAACAAATCTCTGTATATCATAGTAAAGCATGAAAACTATAAAATTTCAAACCGAGAATGTTTCAAGAAACAAAAAAGAATAATACCAATAAAAATGATTGTTTTTCAAATATGAAATATTTATATACAGCAAACACTCACGCATACTTCTCGCATTTGATGAGGTTTGAACCCTGGACCTCCTTGGAGGCTGGGCTCTACCTGTAACCAGGTACCTCTGGGCCAATGACCTTTGGTACTCATTACTCAAGAAATGACTGTTCTAAGTCGCTAATCGTTACTCGAGAATTCCTACGATAACCCATGCACAAACAAAAGAAACAACAGACTGAAGAATTGCTTAAGATTGTACTATAGCCAGTAAAAGTTACCATGTGCTTCGCTAGTCTTTGCAGCATCATCTTTTTTTGAACCCAGCGTTGGAAAGTCCCCAGAACTCAGAGAGAAATCATTAACTTTGGAGGGCATTGACTGCACCAATAAGCAAGACATCCAAAACATGAGTTTTTTGCTTCACCGTTGTACTTATGAAAGAGTTTGCAAGAATAAAACAAGCATCTGAATAAGAACATCTCTATTATGGGGCAGAAGGCATCAAGGTAAATAACTTACCAGCTTATCTGCAGTACCATTAGGACCCCATGCCACGGAATTATCAAATACAGGCTCAGCAAAACGGGACAGATGCGAGCTACCTGGTCTTGTCTCTGCACTGAGTGGGCGTGATGACGTTAGTGATGACTGGTTTGATGTCAATACCCCGGAAGCTGATGATGGCCTAGAATTTGGACCCCATGTACTAGCAGAAGGCTCATGCATTCTGTCGCTGCCAGCAGTAGATGGTCGACTAAGGCCTCCGCCCGATGAAGGGCGGCCACTGGGATGATGGGGTGAAACAGTGCTACTCTCCGCATTTGGAGATATTGCTGATGAACCCCAAGGATTTGACGTCGATGAAGATGGACGACTGCCCCAGCTAAGGCTACCCCTGTTAGTAACAAACATGGATATCAATTGTCACACAAGAGAGAAAACACCAGTAGAATAAGTGACTTTAAGGAAAAAAGGGGCATAGAGAAAACTGCAGAGAATGTGTGTGTGAATGAATAGGGGATAGAATAAAAGCAATACTCACTTGGGAACAATTTCCACATTTGGATCCAGACCATGATTTTCTAACCTTAAAACAGCAGCACAAAGATTATCAGAATATTTACTACATAAATTCTAAGAAAATTGGTCATAATTCAGATGTAAAAGCATACTTTTGGCTAGGTAAATTCAAAGGTTTAGGGACGGCAACTTTGCCCAAGACAGTCATGCCACCCCTTCTTGCAGAGGCCCACCTAAAACAGAAAACAACAGAATATTCTGTCAAGCATTGATTTAGAGAGACAAACATTGCATCCAATTTTCTGGTTGATAGAAACAATATTCACGAACCCTTCTATAAGTACGTTAATCTCAATTATCCTACTGAAAAATGCCCAAGCTGGTTTAAGCAAATTTGTAGATGGAACAGTAATTCAGGACTCTCTGACGCATATCATTTTCTGCTTTTATGTTTTACTTAATTTGGTTAGCAAGTTTCATCCTGATATAGTGGATTTTCCATCAAGGCTGTAGATCTTATATCGTTGTATTTTGATTTTTAACTGTCATCCATTCCACAACTGATTTATAAATATACGTAGTTTCTTCTCCATTTTGGTTTACGATATGCAAGCCCATGTCCTCCAAGGTTTTCAATCCCCTATACAACTATCAGTCCAACTGATGCTCAGAATAGAAGACAAGACAAAAAAATAGAAATGAATAGGAAACTTTAAAAAAGAATACTCATTGTTATAAATAGATTGTGTTCTTCCCCACAGAACACATGCTTCATGAAATTAAAATAAAGTTTTAACATATATTACAATGTGAGTAGGATCAGATCCGATGCATCATGCATATAATTGAAAGACCTATACCTCCGTTCTCCAGCCAACATACTCGATGTCATTATTCAAATGTAGTCCCAAGGTCATCCAAGAAGTATATATAAGACCTGCAGATGATATTAAATGTTACTTTTCTTACTACAGTAAACAAGAGAACTGAACTCAGCCAATGCGATAAGTGATGTTACATGAGGGTTACAACATCAATAACCTCCAAAACCTAGCCACTTTTCGTAGGTGAATAGTTCACCAACTAAGCCCATAAAAAGAACGCTGCCTTAAACAAAATGAGCAGTGTAAAAGAATTAGAAGAAAACTCCCATAATATAAGTAATTTAAAGACTGTCCTAAAATAACTGAGCTAACTTCTTTGCGTTCTCCTACTCCGAAGTTCATGTAACTGTTGTTTTACCTATTTGGTCCAAGACGAATGAAACAGTGACCTGACGCCATCACACATTAGCATGAGCTCAACCAATTCGTAAGGCTTGCCTAGCTAGGATGATAGAATCTATGACGCAAAGAATTAAACCAGATCATTTAAGAGCATTGTATTGCACAATTCTAACTGCTATTTTCTTCATACAATCCAGTTGATAACCTGAGCAAGAGAGTAAATATTGCATGCATTTCGATAGCTGAGGCTTTATGTGTAGTGTAAATCTATGGAAATCTAGAAGCATGGATTTTGGCTTTTAAGTTATGCTACCCGGAAAGATAAGACTAGGATTTGGTAGGTGTAACTCCCCTGCCCCCATTGAGATTGGAACAATTAATCATACATGCACATTAATGAAGTGTTTGACTGCACTGCAGTTCAAGTGTCCATAAAACTGTCCCATCATGACAAAAATGGGGAGAATGTTAACCAAACTAGGGGAGAATGTTAACCAAACTAGTGATCGGGGAAGTGGTAATGAACATCATTGCTGTATATTTCCATGAGGTAGGTTTGAAGGAATCCATCATAACACATTTTGGGTGGATCTAAGAGAGTTTTTTGGAGTTACCAATTAGCAACAGTCTTTTCATAAGAGATTTTATTGGTATCCAGGTAAAAATACTAGAGGTTTGAAATAATTCATGAATGTCTTGGAAATGGAAATAAGAATCAAGAATATGAAGAAACAATAAATTTTGTGGGGGCTTATGATCTGAGGACTGTAGACACTCTATGAAGACATGTGACTGACCTGTTAATCATGCATGACATAATTTAGAAAAGCAAGAAATCAGGTTAAAAAATAACGTAAGGCACACCTGAGATCACTTGAGGATCTCATTCAAAATGACCAAAGGCATATCACATCTCACCTAAGCAATTGTTTCATACAATCAAAGAAAAAGGTACTCAATTTAATGTATTTTCTAATTCCATAGGGATTACAACCCTATTTGCAATGAAAAAAATAATCATTATCCTAATAATAAGTAGTAATTACCCTAAAAATAAAGAAATAAACCGAATAAGAATACTAATAATTCCAATTTAACTTTTTCTAGCATGCCTCAACTAGTTCTGGGAAATATGGATGTTGGAGTTGATCCAAATATGGCCTCCAGGTAGCCCTTTCCAATTAGCAACTATCCCAACAATGGCACCATTCATGCGCCACAAGTGATCATGGTTTTAAAAAAACGCTCGAGGAGTACGTTTCAAGGAGAGGCGGTGGAAAAGCGAAGCTGAGGTGGTGCCTCTTCTGGGTTAGTTGAAGCATAGGCCTCAAACCACTGAGGCAGGTCCGAGGCGCTGAGGAGGGCTAAGGCGATGGTCTGAGGCGGTGCATAAATATCAGAGATTAAAGATTTAAGATATGTAGGTTTTTCACTCTGCTCCCTCATGCTCATCTCCTCCAGACCTTCGTGAGTTCTTCTGCAGTTCTCCTACACCTCGTCTCCTCCAGTTAACTTTCGTGTCCAGCTCTGAAGTGTCCCACTTTGAATGGAGGCTTAGGAAAGAAATAGTATATATATATATATATATTCAAAGTAGGTGACTTGAGTAAGGAAGTAAAATTTATTTACAGTATTATGTTGGTTAAGATATAATTATAGATGTCATGGGAAAAATATACACGAACAAATTGAAGAGTAGAGTCTGAGCGTAATAAGTTGGTTCTCTATTCCCAATTTTTCCTTTCATATTTGGATGGCAACTCAACTCAAAATACGCATCAGTCTGGCTCCCCCTAAAAGCCGGAGGCTGATAGACACTAAAATTTACGCCATGCTTGGCTGCAAAGGAGAGGGGTAGGTAGACACTGCTTATCAGAAACATTCTAAATTTTCACACCAACTGATTATAACAAAGAAAGGTATCAGGTTCTGATCTTGAGAAAACTAACCTGCATATGCTATTACTAGCATATACTCAGACAGTAGATAAAGCCGACGTGTAGTCGACATAATCTACCATCAGCTGAAGACATATACAATGTCAGCTCAATGGATTTCTCAAGCAACCATCCTACTGATTATCCATAAGGCGTATATACATACATACCCAAGATGCTGAAGGGATGTGAGAAATACTATTTGCTTTCATGTCTTCAGGACTAACAAATTAAAAGTAACAACATATATGTTGATGATTCCAACATATTACGAGTAAACATACACTCGTATATATTTTTCAAACTTATATGGCACCCCATGCCATACCCAGCCTGAAAAGGGCATATGTCATCGGCACGTATGCCACTGTTGTAATATAGCGTACATATATGCATCTCCATTCACATATGAACTTTGATAGATATACCCATAGATATGCGTCGCCTTAAATAAAAATAATAGTAATTATAAATAAATAAATAAAGCAAAGATACTTCCTTTATAACCATTATCAGACCTTCGAGCCTTACCAAACCCTAAATTTCAACTCTAATTTAACCAGAAGTGTAAGACAACAATAATAAAATATACAATTTGGAAAAAATAACAGAAAATAGGAAAAGATGTAGAGAGAGAAATGCTTATTACCCTAGATAGATAGGTAATTCGGATCTAGAAATTATAAGTCCGATCTGCGATCTCGAAAAGCAACAGCAAAAGCGATGATCAGAAGAAGGGAGAGCGAGGGTGAGGATGGCGTTTAGATGTGTGCGTGGGGTGTGTGTGTGTGGTGGAGAGAAGCGATGCGAAGCGAAGCGAAGGGAATGGAGGTGGAAGGGGGTTGGAGACAGTGGTGTGGGTCGAGACGAGAGCACCGGAAAAAGGCTAAGCCCAAAAAACGCAGAGAAAGCTCGCTTCTTACCCTGAGAGAGGGTCTTAAATTAAGAAGTCAAATCGATTTTGGATATAGTCAAGCTCCCTTTAACAACATTTAATATTCATCTCTAAAATAACGTGCTTCGAATATATATACCCAATTGTAAGCGACTGTTTGGTAATTATTGAATGATTTGGTATAGATACAAAATGATTAAGAGATTTTTATGATATAGTGTAAAATAAAATATAATTGTTTAGTAATTGTATACAATGAAATTAAGACTCTTAATGATTAATGGAGATACATGATACAAAATCATTTAGAGGGTTTTAAAACCATTAAGAGGCAAGCTTTTTTTTGTTAAACAAGATTCATCTATTAATGATTCAGATGTTGTTTCTTAATGAAACTATTAAGAGGTAAACAAACAACCCCTAAGAGCATTCAGAGTTGTGTAATTTTTATAAACTTTATTTGACATATTTTTTTTATTATATCATTGTCATCTTAACAAAATAAGAATCTTGATAAACTTCAAGTTCTTACAAAAAATTTACTTTTCATTTTTTTAATTTTTTTAATTTACAAAATATAATTTTATAAATGAAATGAGCATGTTTCTTAATTAAGAGAGACATGTTTGAAAAAAAAAATTGGTTTTCTGCATAAAACTCTACCCTAATAGCTTACTGAATAAGTCATTGTTTGTATTCTTAAGTCGCTACCAAATAATCATGTATAGCTGATAGAATAAGTTGCGAATCTTATTAGTCTTATTAAGTTGCTAACAAACAGACCCTCAGATAGACCTGTGAAAAAATTGTGCAAGTTTTTAATGTTTAACTTGACACAGATAATTTAATAATTTATGTCTTTTTTCTTGTCTCTATCTAATGTTTGCACCAAACATAACTTTTATTTTATTATATCCCGTATTGTTATGTGAAATGTACTCTAAGTGTGTCTTTGTTATTTGGAGTAAGGGTCTGGTTGTTAGCAGCTTAATGGATTCACATCTTATTTTGTCGGTTATACATATTGTTTAGTTTTGGTTTAAGGATGGAGAAAGTGACTTATTCTGTAAGCTTTCAAAATGAGATTTATGCAGAAGTCAATTTTTTTCTAAACATGCCCTTTTTCAATAAAAACACACACTTCTTCCATCTATAAGAAGCTCTCATAAAGAAAAGTCTTTTCTAATATATCCTGATAAATTAATTTATACAGACAACTTTATATATACAAGACTTGATAATTAGTTCGGTTGGGACGAGACTTGACGTGACAGAATTCACTTTTTTTATAAAAAGAAGAGAGACCAAAAAATTGAATTACAAAACTACTCTTATCTTTTATATTATACAAAAATTATATTTAATACTATAAGGGTAATAGCACAATGCATAGAGATACATTTTGATTTTTATGTTTTGTTTTATTTATTTTTTTGTCTCGGTTGATGTTAGAATACATTTTTATGTGATTTTGAGAAAACCATAATGTTTTTATTTTTGAATAAAATATAAATATGAA